GTCTCATCACATACGCAAGTTTATGGAAAATTGATCAGTAATATCGTTTATTAAACGAGCGCGCTTAAGTCCACCTCAGACAAACACAAAGACCGGCAATGACAGACAGAAAAAGTACAATATTAGGTCATGGCAATGCCACTGGAAAGGCCGTATAGTCAAGTGGATGACCTCAAAACCACTACCGCTCTCGTATGTAACCCACACCCACGTTTTTCAGCTTAAAATTTTCAGTGCGTCGTCAGAAGAAAATGTTGCTGACGAGATGACGGGTTTGTAAGATTTGTTCCGCTGTGTACTGGGTCGGGGATTTCACCGAGGGACCGCAGAAGTACACAAGGAGAGAAAACGTTCAACAAATTCAAGAAAAACAGATGAGGGATGCATTCAAAATAAAACCAGTTTAGTTTCACGTGAACGAAAGGAAAACAAATCTGGAGCGGCTGGACGACAACATCCTTTTGTGAGCAGTCTTTCTTGAAAAATTAAACCTCCATTAATGGTATGTAAACACACCTCCAAGCCAGCACCTGTGCCGCCTCCGCAGCGCACTGGACGGACAGCTTTTATTCCACAGAAGGCTGGGGAGCCGTTTTGTGTCGGGGAGGATGACGTCCCAACTTTTCCTCATTAAACACCCGCCTGTCCCTGTTCCTACCAGCTCCACTCTGGCACCCCGTTAAAACCTGAACACTTCACGCAAATCTAACGAGAGCCGCTATCCAAAAAGGTCCAAGTAAGCGTGCCGCTGCCCCCACCCCTCTCCTCCTCCTCCACAGCTGCTGGCTGCCTCTGACTTTCTTGCTCCAACACCACTGACTCAAATTTCACACTCTGGCTCCTCCTCGTCTTCCTCCCAAAGCACCACGGCTGGGAGGAATTTTTCGGTCTTTGTTTAAAAGGACGAGTGGAAAACACACTGGAGCCCACGACCTAAAATAAACTTTTTTAAACAATTTAAAATCGACTTATTTTTTTCTTAAAGATAGACCACTCTACCAGAAATCGGCTTTACTTAACACCAGGTTTAAACCAAGTTTTTCAAAATACGCACTAAAACTTCAGACAAAACATCTGCGCTAACGTTTACGTGTTTCATACCCCGACTAACCGTCATTCGCAACTTTAACGAGTAACTTTACACCATAAAACAACGGGATCCACCGTATACCGAGCTTTCAGACCGGTTGCATCTTTATCTTCAGCTCAGTCTGTTAAAACTAAAGCAGCTGCAAAAAACAAAAAAACAAACGACCCACAGACGACACTCAACTCGAGCAAACATGAGTCAGAATAGTGGAATGTAGCCAACTAATAGTTAGGCTAACATCTGCTAACGTAAACTACTAAAACACGCTAGGAAACGCCATCGTCGTGAACTCCCGAAATCCCACTTACGGTTTCCAAATAACTGGGCGGCAATTGATCCGTGGCGTAAATCTGGCTATTGTAAACAACTGCTTATAATGCCGAACACAAACCACGTGCTATTAAAGAGTCAACCAGTGTCGTCGGTAAAACAGTTATGTTCCCATTAGGCGGTGGCTGGCATATCCCCAATATATGCCGCGAGAGCGACGGGCTCGCTCGCTCGCTAGCTTGCGGCGGCGGCAGCAGCGGCAGCAGCAGCAGCATCCCCCGGCCGGTCCACACACAACAACAGTCCTCATTCCTGCTGGCATTCAGAAAAGACAGAAACTGAGTGGTGCCGATAGTTTGAATGTTGAAGCCTACCCTTGTCAACACAGCAAGTCCGTCCACTCGGGTCCTGGAGAGTAAAAAAAATACTCTGAAATGGAAAAAGTCGAGGAAAAAATTGAAGCCGAGCGTCAGCGGGGAGCCCTCGTCCGCTCCCTCCACAGGCAACTGAAACCGACTTGGCCGGAAAAGCAGAGACTGGAAAATGTAAGATGGCGGCATGTTTATATAGACCGGAGAACACCTCGAGTGCACCCATATCCTGCCGTGAGCTCGGATAAAGTAGAAACTGAAGCCATATTTTATCTTTATTTCGTCTGACGTTTACGCACTTCTGTATATATTTACCAAGCTCGATAGCTACACGCGTTGGTTGTGATAAATACTTTATTTTTTAGGGTAAAGCTAGCCAAATTCCACATCTGCACGAGTATGAATACACAATGGAATGAAGTTCCGGCTGACTCGAAAAGGGAAATCCGATTCCTTTCCCCCGAGTTAAATCTCATGGACTCTGGAAACATAGGATAATTTCCTTTAGCGTACAAAGTCATACATTTGTCACCTTTGTCTATACAGACTGAGAAATGAAGGCCTTCATTGCTCTTACCATCACCAGGTCCCTGCTCAAAAGACAAAAAAAAAATGGAAAAATTGAGCAAACCAACTTAAAAAACAACCCAAAAAACAACAACCCCCCCCCCCCCACACACACACACACACACACAAAACAGAAATCAAAACGAATTAAATTAGACAAAATGACAAATTCTAATTCAATATATGTTCAGAGAGACAACATCCGCATTTTGCCCAAGCCATTGTTGGTTTCTTTGCATTTTAAATAATGTCAGGAGACAAATTGTGGCAAACAAAACACACATTTAGACTAGGTAATGTAAAGAAAATGTCAGTGAGATGTTTTCTTAGTTTCCTTAACAAAAGATTGTAAGATATATGTGACACGAGGTGCTGGCTTTGCTGTACTTTGCTGTAAACTAAATGCTCAATAAACAAGCTAATGTTTGTGGTCTTTCTTTTATGAAACTGCTTATGTCCCCGGGCATAAAACAGACCTCACTGGGCAAGTTGGAACACCTCTCATTGGCTTTCCTGTGTTCTGTTCAGTGATGTCTGGAAGGCTCATGACTTGTTTGTGAATACCACCAAATCTCACATATGCAGAAAATATAAAAAGTGATTAATGTGGTTTTCATATTTAAGTTGGAAAAAATATGAGATCAGCCAATTAATCACATTAAAGTCATAACTGATCAAACAATGTGGGCATTGCTATAACAGAATTACTTCTTATAAATATTGTAGACTTAGATTAATCATATTTCCTGAGTCCATTAGAACGCACATTCAGCCATTAAAATTATTAGTGATCTATGGGCATCGCCAAGGTCCTTCAAGTGAGTAGTCTGATCTTTCCTTTATTCTGAGATCACAGAGTTGTGGCTGTTAATTTTCAGATCACTTTCTATTTGGCTCAATAATAAGTAACTTGGTGGATAGGCCACATAGGAAATTTAAATATGCTTTGCAAGTCCTCTACTCACTGTTCGGTCCCTTAATCTCCACGTTATGAAAGCAGATAATGTACCTTTTCAGTACCCCTTCATTCTGCAGGTAGCAATGTCATGGGCAAACAAAGGTAAATCCTTTCCTGTGAACTGCCTACAGGCTATTTCATTAACCTTTATTTACAGTGCGTGGGTGGAATAGGTTACTGAAAGCCAAACTCCAATTGAAAACAGTCAATGCAGTGTCCCTGAATAGGATGCATGGGAATGAAATCAACAACAGAGCCAATACGTACACAATATATGAGCGCATCACCTAAAATGACTCCACCCTGTGTCATCTGATTGCGACACAGACAATTACAGTACCAGCGTGTGATTGATTTCATTTGGAATAGCTTTCAAACCACAGTGACAATTACTGCTGCCACTCACTGTTATATATAGCCACAAAGTTTGAAATCTGATGACTGTGCTTCTTGGCAGTCACATTATCTCACAGGTGCGTGCTCATGCAGCCGAAAAAGGCACAAAATCACGAAAACAGGATGACGAGACATTCAGATTTTCTAATTATACTCCAAAACACATATCAGTGGAAAGGCAGCGTAATTATTGTTTAGGTGACAGGCTTGTGATTTCTATTTCCATTTAACTATGGGTTCCTCCAGGAGGGCTTTTAACCTCCAACATCTCCACAACATACAATTAATATCAAACATGATGCGTGGTTGTGGGTGCAGATGTTGAAAAGAGCAATCTGTGAGAAAATACATTAAAACATATCACAAAAAGCCCTCTTTGAACAAGAGATACAATGGTACAATGCAATGTCTGACATAACATGCTTGAGTTAGATGGCATCCCTACATTAAAGCCTTCACTTGCTTACAAGTACACTCTTGTAAAACAGGTTGTATTTGTGAACTCCTTCATTAAAAGTCATACCTGCTTTTGGATTTATATAGCGTGCACAACCTAAACAGAGCCCTTCTAAAAATACAACTCTCCTAAAAACCAGTGTGAAAATCCAGCTGTTTATGTTGCCGGTGATTTGTGGTTAACTGAGTCAGAAATCCAAGAATTAATTGATTTAGACAGGCATCACTAAAATCAGAGGAACATATGTTAGTGTGAGTACAAGATGATATTTCTTGTACTGTAGTTTGTTTGGGTTTTTTTGTTGTTGTTTTTTTGCATGAATAAAAATGCAAATTTTCGCTCCACAGGCCCTTCAAAATGTTAATGTCTGTATAATAGATTCATTATTTCATTTTTTATCAGACAATACCAATAGTCACAATTTAAGCCCAGTAAATAAACAAAACATAGTGTATCCTTGTCAAATTAAGGCAACAGGGAACTGGAAGTGCTTCACATGTGCTGGGTTTACCTTACAGTTTAGTTTGACCTCTAGGTCCAGGTAAAGGGTTAAAAAATATATTTGCCGTCTGTAAAAAAAAAAAAAAAAAGTCAAAGATCAAATGCATTTGAAACGCAATCTCTTGATTTAGTGTCTCTCTGGAAAAGCTATTGATCATTAAATACTATCACTTTTTATTATTCTTGTTTTAAAATTAATCTCATGATGCAAGAAAACAAGCAAGATCACATCCATTCGTTTATTTAATAAAACAGTTCACACATGTACAGCTGCTGGGATACATATAAGCGGTCTTTCTGTTTGCACCCAGACTGTTCAATTTACACCTGTCTATCACACCTCCTGTCAAAATGAACTTGAAAGCATTTCAATATTGAGCGTAACGAACAGTTTATAAGCAGCGTTGGGACGTGTCAGCTGTGAATCTGTGATTGTGTGCAGGTGACAGCAAGGTGGAGTGACAGACACAGCAGCGCAGTTCAAACGGTCACTTTCTGGTACCTAAACAGGACATCGGGTGATCAGCAGGGAGATATAACACAGTAATGTGTGGTGGTTTTCCACTTCACATTAAGGCAGTTTAATTATTTATTTGTCCATGGGTACCACTTACCTGAAGAAGGATGTGTACCCGTATTTTATTTTTAAGAAGGACTCAAGTAATGAATCTACAGAGAAATGCGGGTCACCTTCAATCCTCTCTGTCCTGGTTTATCACCAGAGAACTCTCTATCGTGACACGTGAGGTTAAACGCCCAGTTTTGCTTGATCCTGGAGGGATCCTGCCAAAGATTAATCCATAATGCCTGTGAAATGGCCCTTCATCCAACAAGCTGTGCTGAAAAAAACACAGACTGTTGTGTTCCCAAACACGCTGTGGCTCTCCAATGACCCAGTGCTGCACCACTTCAGGGAGCCCACACAACACTTGTTCTTCCAGCTGGAGAGGCCGTTTCATTTTCCGCCCTGGCAACACGAGGAGTTCGCTGAGTATTTACACCTGCAATTCATTGATAAACGCAGAGCAGCATGGACATCAAGACAGGGTGTTTTAGAGGACAAAGCACATTTTAATTCTAATAACAAATTCTTTTTGTTTGGATGTAAATAGATCATTGGAAAATATAAGGCAGCCTGATAGAATACAATAAAATCACCATCATCATTAGTAGAAGTAGCAGCACTATTGAAACGACGAACATGTTAAGATTAATTTCTACTTGCATTTTATATAGAAATTTAAACGCTCTGTATATTTGCTTGTAATCTACGCCTCTCCAATCCTGCATCATGTCACACTGTGAGGTCAGTTCACAATAATCTGTCCAACTCCTATAATTTTTGGGTGGATTTAGTCAATTGCCGGCAATTAATACACAAATAAGTCCAGCAGTGTTTTTGATCCATTTCAGCAGACAAGTATGACAACAGATTAAACATTATACTACACATAGGGAAAAAAAGAAAAAAGAATGAATGCTTGGCACTAGCGCTTTAATCGAAGCATCAGTTATCCTGACTCGTGCGTGAATGTGACGAAACTGCATGTATGCATACGCAGCTTTTGCTTTGACCAAACACAGGTCAAGGTAATGATAATATAGAGCTCAAGGTGCCAACAGCGACACAAACAAGCACATAAAAACAGGTAGGTCCCAGTCTCCTAGGAGCAGATAGTCACAAGAGACTTGCAGGTCTTGTTCAAGCTCCGTTCTCATTGGCTAACACCGGTGCTGTGTATTCACATACGCATGTGTGTTTGCATTCTTATGCCTGTGTGAACACTTGCATCAGAATTTCTGTGTGCTGCGTTATTTAATTTATGTGCAGGTCTGCTGTATGTGAGCGTAGTAACAAGAAAGACCAGTTTTTTCGTTGGTGTGTTGATCCCAAAATGTGTATTTTGAGGCACATATGATCACGTGTGTCCCTAATTATAATATCTTTTATCAAAAATTCCTCTCTTAATTTTTCTGCTCTTGTTTAACTGAAGAGTTTGGCATCTCGTGGTTATTGGTGAGGAAATGGCACGGCAATAGAAATCACCAAATCCCAGGAGAGCAAAGTGCCACATACACATGCAGTGGCCAAGGCCCGAGGGGTGTGGTTTCTTTCTCTAGCTGTTAAAGAAAGGGGCAGCTCAAAGCTATAGATAGGGGCAGACAAAACAAATACGCCCTCACACACAGGGACACACACACACAGGCACATGCACACACAGCAACAGCAGGTCAGAGAAGGGATACAGACCGGGCCACATGGAAGGAATGTTTGCCTTGGACCGACACTCTCGTGCGGAGGCTGCGACTTATGGCCCTCTTGACACTGAAAAATGGCTCTAACACAGCGGGGCAAACCAAATATACTCTGTCAGTCACTGACCATGTATTTTACACTATAACGCTTTCACTTTGGCCTTTACTTTACAGTGTAGCAGATGCTTATAGCGAGCTTGACAAATTCATTTAAACAAATGTGAAAAATGAAAAAAATTAAATGTCATTTTTATTTTTATTTACTTTTTACAGCGTTAAATACAAAATTGTTTAGTCACTCTATTCACTACAGAATAGTCTGAGGTGATGTTGCTGCTCTCAATTAGTAATAACAATACTAATTTTGTGGTATATTAAAAAACAACAGGAAGGGTGAAAACGCTCTGCTAACCTGCTCGGTGTTACTCTTCAAACTTGGACAGTTGTAATCCAGTGTGTGAAGAGGAGGAAGAGGAGGATAGAGGAAATCACATCCTAAAAGAAGGTGAGAGGACACTGCATGGACCAGATATTTGACTCAGACTACAGACGGATTATGAGGATTGGGCAGTATAAGCCGATATAGGAAACAATGTGACGGTGGGGCTGACATATGAATGAAGTGAGGCTATGCAGTATAGCATAGTGTTGAGGAGAGACTCTTTTATTTTTTATTTTTTGGTCAGCTACAAGCTCCTGAATCGAAACTGAGCAGAAAGAATGCTTGGGTGCTGAACTAACACAGGAAACAATAGCCTAATTTCCCCACCAGAGCCAAGTGGGATTCAATGTTAACCACAGCAGACTTCAAAGGTGCTCATTTAAACAGCCCGGATGACATTTCACCTGCTTTCCACGAATCCTGTATTATTACAGCAGTAGCCCATGCTCAGTCCCTGCATCTATACTGCATTAGTGGTTGCCATGGTAAAAGTCCTCCATCCCGCATCGATCCTGCACAGACAGACAGAGAGGCACCACTCATACAGATTTCTGCAGGAGGAAATTGAGGATGGGAGAGACAGCTGAGTTACATAGCACTGCTGTGTGATGTACAAGCACTGTGATCTACCTGTAAAACCACGCTGAGATTTCATGCACTGCACTCTATCACGCCTCTACAGAGACGCACGACGTGGCGACGAACACAGCGAGCCAGAGCACTGGGAAGGCCACAGCTCTCAAGTTTCATTGTAGTGTTTCAATGCCATTCGGCTTCTTCTGAATCAATTCTACGGCCCGTCTCTGTTTTATTAAACACAAGGCACACAGAGAGGCAGAGCCGGCTTCTGCTGGATTTCACTCAACACTGCGAATATGTGGTTGACGCGCTAAGCTACCACACTCTTCCCTGATATTTTATTACATCTCGTGATGTCATGCTGAAAAATAAACTCCTCGTGGAGTGATGCTGGAGCCGAAGGGGTTTTAAAGCTCCTAAAAGTCATTTATCAGCTGGATTATCGTCAGCAGCTGCTCATTAAAGCCAGTCACATCTGGATTTATATGCCATTTGTGTCACATCCACAGCAGGGCCTAATGACTAACATTATTATTGTCATATCATTATGAACTAGGAAATAAATTTAACAAGCCATGAGAGGGTGTAAATGTTAGTTTGATGGGAAATAACAAGGGAGTGAAATTCAAAATAGTGCTCTACAGAGATTTTTCTCTTTATTAGTGATTTAGTTTGAAATGCTAAACCCAAAAACATGACTCTGCAAACCTACAATGACTCCAGTCAGTAACTCATGGCACAGCGGCTGCTGATATAAGAGGGAAAAAATATATTGTAAAATAAAAACCCAATAACCATTTTTGCTAAATGGCCTGAAGAAAAAAAAAATGTTTTTGCATGTTTTTAACAAACCGATGTGTAAAGTTCTTCATAAAATATAATTCTGCATGTTTAAAACAGTAGAAATAACAGCGATGTTGACAGTCTAAGTGTCGATTATGATAAAATTTGTCTTAATAATTTCACAAATTGTTACAAATTTCCAATCATTTTATTATACAATAATAAAACGGCACGTTCTAGTTAAAAAAAAAAAAAAGCTGAAATAAACAGCTCCATCACATTTATCTCAAATCATCTTTCCACGGCATAAAGCAGCATCCTGCATGGCTGCCTCCAGTTCACCTTCAGTTTAATCAATTTAGGAGGCCAATTTTCTCCCAAACCGACATGGACAAGGTTGTTATATCCATCTTATTAGCAGTGAATACTCTATCATTAGCAAATCAATTGCAGTTTCTATTCACAGTTGGAATGGGTTCAGCTGAGAGGGAGCTGAAAAGAATCGCCACCCTCCACCTCGGTGATTCACGCTAACACTGAGCCATACGTAAAGCGAAGAAAACCTCCTCTTGGTGATTGTCCTTAGAAGTTCTCTTGCTCCAAAGCAGCTTATAGACAATATTGTCAAGCTGGCACATAGACGACCTTTAGCATGACTGATCCTGCATAGAGATGAATGAATATATGTGTGTGTGTGTTGGAAATATGTGCGACACAGACATAAAACCAAAAAACTGAAAGACTGAAAAATTGACAGCAGTCAAAAGGGTTACGACACACACACACGAACAGGCCTCATTTAAAGCAACCTAGCTTCAAGATGTTGAATAGTTACTATTAGACAGAAAACACACCTTTAAAATTTTGAGTAATTAACATTCAAAAACAAATCTAAATGCTATCACACACTATGTGCACGTGTTCTAAAATTTAAATTCAATGGAGCAAAAGTCACACTTTATCAAAGGGACAAAGTAATAATTTGTTCCCTTTTAAACCTCACAGAACAACATCTTTAGAGAAGACGCACATTAACTACCGTATACGGCATTACACAACACATGCAACCTTGTGGAGTCCCCCTCTATTGAAATCACTTTCCAAAGACGAAAAAGCAGAAATATGAGGAAAATAAGTGGAATAAAGCAGCTCTTTGACTGGACTTTGACTTCAAGGCCTTGAAGGTATAATCAGATCACAATCGAATTCGCAGTACTTTAGAAAGCTTATCATTTAGTCTATCATAGACCAGGTTAAGTATATACATATAGACATATATAGATTACTTTGCAGTGATAAGGCATACAGAGCTTGATAACAAATCTGAAACATCTAAGTATTTATTATCTGTAGAGATAAGGCATAATATGCACTGTGATAATAAATATGAAAGCTTCTATTGAAATGATTTTAAATTTGATCCCTGTAAGAAGACTGACGAAAAACACGAGTACGTATGTATTAATTTTATTTTTATTCTTGTCAATGCAGTGCTGATCCATGGGAGTAGTTTTAAACCATATTATTAGTATCTGTGTGATTACCTATAAGTATGTAAAATACTGTATAATAATAGTGTAATTTATCAAAACAATCACAGAATCTTTTTAGACAGAAATAGAAAAATGTTGGGCATGAAATTAAACCGTGATGCTTTGTCTAGGAAGTTACGCAATTATGTGAAGAATAAAATGAGCTTAAATGATTTAGTTTGAGCATTAAGAGTAGAAAACCCCCCCAAAAATAATTAAGAGATGACCACAAAGTCACAGCAACGCACTGATGCCACCAAATGAGGTGCATTGCACATGTTAAGCTTCCTGAAAGCCAGAGGGGGAGCTATGCTGTTCAAAGGTACACAGACTATTTATCAGGTACAGTGTTTATGCTTTTTTTATTCTCTCCAAAAACAGTGCAAGACCTGAAAAATCAATCAGTAAGTAATTAATCCATCTGAATACAGTATCAAACAATGTACATAAATAATAATGATAACAATAATATAAAGATGGTGAAAATTACAATTACAAATGCGTACTTCACAATTACTTTTTAATAGAAACTATTTAAGAAATGTTGAATTTCTTCTGTCTTTTGTTAAAAAAAAAATCACACTCATATTTTCTGTGCTCAAATGCTCAGCAAGATTACCCTGAATATTATACTATATATAGTAAGGTGTGTTTGCATGTGTTACATATATCAGAAATTAAATACTGCACCGACTGCACTGTATAATACTGGAAATATCTTCAAAAATACAAATTGTAACGCTTTAATAATATATGGTTGTCAAAACAAACAACAAAACACCTGCAGAGTGAGATTATTCATTTCATTGCAACAACAATGTCACTTTTTCTGTATTATAAAACAATTCATTTTAATGCAGATTGCAGATGATATTCAGGTCCAAGAGCTTTTTAAATGTTGCATACCCAGTGAGATTCAGAAACTGAAACACTACTGGCATAATAATTCAGGCATTTTTATCTGCCGTATATAATAAAAAATGTGTTAAATAACAGATGATCGCAAACAACGATAAACAATCTTATTTTGACCACATGCAAAAAAACTGAGGGCGTTTTAAATGTATAAAATGTCGGTAAATATGTGAGCTGCGACAGTGTCAGCCTCCATGCTTTTAGCAAAAAGATTACACAGCGAATTTGCACAAACTCCACCCTGCTATTGTGAAAAAGTCTTGGGAAACAAATCAGTATCATAAGAAAATTTTAAGTGACAGAGGCATGGTTATGGCTGCCACTTTGGCTGTGTGTCTCACTGACCGTCCGGTTAATCCACTTAAGACACAATGTCCACCGACCTTCTGATCTGACACAATACCTTACACAACGCGCTACTACAAACTCATCACTAAATGCATTTTATTACTTTCCCAGCACACACATACATATAAAATTCTACTTTTTAAATAGAAATTTTAAATATTGTAGAATCCCAAGATGAGAAATTAGCAATAAAAAAACAACAACCCAGGGTCGCAGGGACTTGGCTGTGGTCGGTGTAATTTTTCATGGTGTCTTCTCTCTCGTTCGTTCTCTTTCCATTGCATTTCCTTAACAAAAGCCTCTCTCGCACACAAACATCCACTCCACCGGGGTGACAGACAGGGAGACAAAATGGCTGAATAGTGATGGAGGGGCTACATGTTCCTTTATGTGTCGACTAATCAGCCAGCACTAACATGTGTCAACACTGCACTCGCACCCTCCTCCGAATAGGGACATTGTCCCTCAGAAAGAGGGGAAAAACTAACAATCTTTTCCGACATCCTGACAACGAATGAGAAATAAACAAATAAGAGCTTCATTCATTTATCAGAATACCAACAACGGAAAATATCGGGACAATAACTCTCACAAGGAAATGTCTTTTAGAACAAAACCACAACATTTCCACTGATACTTTTTCTTTCTTTAACAGAAACTCGTCCTCGTATGCTGTGTTTGTATGTGAGCTACCGTTGGAGGTTTTCTAACGACAGCTCCTGTGTGACAGCAGAGGGCTGGCCGACGGCTACCTTTTGAAGCTCGCTGCTGCAGCACTGATATCCTCCACACACGCGCACACATACATACAGTGTCATCAGTATTCTGCTAGACCTGCCTTTTCAAGCTCACTGCAATTTTATTAGTATAATCGACGGCAGACAT